TAATGCTGGAGAAAAAAAGTGTGCAATTGAGAGTGAAAAACTTGTGACTTCCTCATTCGTTTTGGACTTCTCTTTGTGTCTCTTTCATTGTTTTTCTCAGGCCTTTGTGGCTTGTAAATCAACACTCTTATCTTTTCCTTTGTGGGTAAGATTGAGGAGCAACTGAGGTAAATTAATTAGATGTTGGTCAAACCCGTTTGGTAGAGAAGGTAATGAGAAACCAAGCCATGAAAACATCGTTTAGAAGATCTTAGGAATGAACTTTTGTAAAATTATTATCAAAGCTTCAAGGTAGTGGATTTGGCTAAAAAAATTGACTAAAAACTAATCCAAAAATTGGAATAACCGAAGCAAAAAATAGATAGGAAAACCAATTGAAAATTAGTGAAAAATTGAATCTTAATGTGTGTTTTTCGGTCAATCCAGAGACCATTTGAGAAAACTAAGACCTTATCTCTACAAGTCGAGGAGAATTCGAAGATACTATTCACAGATGTTACGCACCACAATACACGGCAGAGAGTGATCCCATGCACAGAGCATCTTACAGGCACATGCAAGCTCGTCATTGGCTTTTCAACTATGGAGCTTGAAGACAGTATGCTCGTGGGGGCATGGTGGACCTTACGATGGTATTTATTCCTATGTTGGGTAAATTTGTGGTTCTGGACTGTTTTACACTTGGACGTTCAAGTTTTGAGCGTTGGTGTTTGTGTTACAATGGTTGTTGGAGATTTTAAGACAAAAAGTGGTGGTTCTAAATTAGTAAATTTGCATCTCCCATTATTTATGGATTCAAATTGGTCTACCTTGGTACATTGGCTTATCCCGTTAAATTTCAGCTTTAGAGTCATAGTGTGAGGTAAATTAGGATTTGGGTTACGTGTCCTAGAAATTTAGGAATTATTGCTTTATTTAAAGTGTTGAATGTAATCGAAGTTGATAGTTACTTTTATGTTTAATTAGCATTAAGTCAATATGTGAGATTACGTTGTGGATGAAATTGAATTTTTGTTGGCATACATACGTGTGTTGCATTGACTATTCAGTTAGAATACCTGGAATTGACTTGTTTGAACATTTCCTTAATACTAAGATCTCAAATCTCACGAAACTTTGGGAATTGAGAACGGTGTATACCGGAGCCTTATGATTACTTTGTGTGACCTATTTATGTACCTTGGTTATTCTATTTTTCAAAATTCGCATTTCGAAGTTGGAATTTCCAATAGAAAAAAAAAAGAAATTTTTAATTTAACAAAAAGAGATGAAAGAAATTTTGGTTCAACAAAAAGTTTCAAAAGTTGTAAATGGCAAATTTTCTTCATTTTTAACTCAAGCACAAAAAGAAGAGTATGATGAACTTGCTTGCATTTCAATAATATTTTTTTACATCTATTTAATGTTGTTTTGAAAAACGATGGAAAACTTGACTCTACAAAAGAATTTTAAAAAAGTTGGAAGATTTATATATCCTTAAATCTATTCCTAATAAATTGTACTTACTTGAAAGATTTTTCAGTTTTAAAATGGATCTTCAAAGGATCTTGATTACAATTTGAATGTTAGTTTGTTCAAGAATTTTGTGTATGCAACCTATAAGGTCATTATTTTAGTGAATTCTATGATCGACTCATTTAAAGAGGTTAAGAATGCAGTTAAATATGTTATAGACAACGTAAAACCTAATATTGTTATTGATTCTCTAAGAAGCAAAGAGATAGAGATTAAGGCAAAAAAGATTATTAGAGGAGTGATGAGATACATATGATAATGAATAGAATGAAGTTTAAGCAAATGAATTTGGGTAGAGCTCAAAGACAATAGTGATTCAAGTAGTAACTCGAGTGATGAGGGTGGTAAGAAGAATGACAGGAGTTGGGACAAGTTTGATGGTAAGCAATGTTATAGCTTTGGTAAATCTGGACACTTTGTGAAGCACTGTCCAAAGAAGAAGGGTAAGATGAAAGGAGAGGCGAATGTGGCTTTTGAATAGAGTGATGACTCTAATGAGGTTTATTTAGAGTAAACTTAGTTATTGTAAGTGCATCTATGTAATCCTTTCTACATGTATGCGATTGCTTAGTTCTGTATGGTTATATGTTGCACTGCAATGTGTTTAATGTGTGTATTCGCATGAATTCTAAGAGCAATATGATTACTTGGTGCAATGTGTTTCCACGCAGAGTGGGTTAAGATGGATTAGCAGTAAGTGTGTGGTATATTTTTTTGTGAGGTAAATTATAGATGTCTAGAGGTACATTTGTGATTTGTACCAGAGATATGGAGTGTGACATTTGGATCACAAGTGAAGAGGTGATTAAATGTTAAAATCTTTTATATGTGAAAACCTTGATTAGGTGAAGTGTGAGAGAAACACTTCTGTTAGGTAGAGACCCATTATTCATTGGAACAAATGAGATGGTGATAGAGGATTATCTCGTAGACTTAAGACCTATTGTGATTTTACCAGTTAGACATGAATTGAATGATTAGCCCAATGAGCATGGTACGTGATGAGAGGAGATGTGTTCTCGATGTGTGAGCAACATAGAATAGGATATGATAAGTGTAGTGAAATCTTTTCGTAGAGCCATTTATGCATTTGTTGCATATGCTTTGGCCATTTGATTGCTTAACTTCGTGTTAGTCTATTGTTCTGTCTGAAAGTGTTTAAAAAGATCTGTTTGTTATCCTATATATCTTCATCGCATGGTTTTTTTTTTTTTTTTATCAATTATCGTGATTAGCTACTTCTACTTGTGTGTTTGTTTTACCTTAGCCCTAATGAGTACATGAATCAGATATGGTATGTGCTTCAGGTTCGAAACACAAGGTAAGTTCTGTGGTTCCAATTTTATTTGTTACCTTGATTATGCAAGTAAGAACTTTGTGTTTTGATTGCTTGTAAGTTGATTGAATATCAAGGTGAAGTTTATTGGGTTTTAATACCTAATAAGTCCCGAACAATGATATAAAACATCGAAGTATATTTTCACAATCCTCGGCCAATAGTGAATGGTTTAACAACAACTAAGTCTAAAGCCTCAACCCAAAAAACAATATGGAAAGTGAAAGTAATTTAAGAAATTAATGCTGTTGATGGCCCACATATATTTACCTATTGGACGACTATTGGATCTTAGCCCATTTAACCCCTTTATTGGTCCAACTAAAGCCTAACCTATTCCTATAAATATGTTGCTTAAGCAAGCCATTTTCTTGTGTGTGATTTCTGTGTAAAGAGAGAAAAAAATGTCTACTTATTACCGGAGAAAAACGTGTGCAATTGAGAGTGAAAAATTGGTGACTTCCTCCATTTTGTTCTTCTCTTTGTCCTCTTTCATTGTTTTGCTCATGCCTTTGTGGCTTGTAAATCAACACCGTTATCCTTTTCCTTTGTGCGTGAGATTGAAAAGCAATCGAGATAAGTATATTGGTTGTGGGTTGGAACCGTAGGGATTAATTGTTTGATAGAGAATGTGACATGAAACTGAGCCTGGAAAACACAATTTAAAAGATCTTTGTAGCAAGTTTACGCAACATGGTGAGATTTTATCTTTTAATGGGTGTATATGATATAATTTTAAATGTTGAATTAGGCCCTGGCGTGTCTTCTTCCTCAAAGCGTTGCAACCCTTCCTCCTTAACACATCTTCACAATTGCTTTCATCTCTTTGAAAGGTTGTATGTCATTGATGAATGTCCATATTCATGGCTACTTATAGGGCATCTCTTTCCTCATTATAGAGACCAAAAAATTTAGTAATACTCTCTCAAAAACCAATTCTATCTTTTTCCTAAAAATTCTATTGCTTGAAGTCGATTTAAGAGTCAAGATGTTCAATTCGTTAGTTCTTCGTGCAACTTCTAAGTAACGAAACTCATTCGATCCTAATAGGTAATTTTTGAAAACTTTTTGCACTAGTTGAAGAAATTTTCCTTGAGGAAATATCGTGAAGTTGCTATGCTCGAATTTGTCATCTTTTAAAATTTGGTACTATAAGTTTACTATTTTTCAATTTAGTATATTAATGGGTTGCATGTAGAAACAATATTACATGAACTACAAGAAGACTAAAGTGAAGTTTGAAACTAAAATTTTGAATTAATTTACCTAATTGAAACGAAACAAAAATTCAATGTTCCAGTTAAAACATATTAAAGTTAAGTTATTCAACTTTTCCGTTATATGATACTGAATGAAATTTACCCTATATTGTAATAAAATATCGCTAAAATGAATGACTCAAATTTATGAAAAAAAAAAATCAAAAAATAAATTTCTTTAATGCTAGATTGACTAAGCTTATAAGCATTATTTTAAAAAGCGCAAAGCATGACTAAATACAATTACGCTAAGTACAGACAATTTTGACAAAAAATATTTACAGACATCACATGGCATGTATTCATTGGAAGATGAAAAAATAAAAAAAATAAAAAAGAAACAAGTAAATCACAATTTGCCACGTCAACTTCGGTAATAAATTTGTCAAAAAATTTCTGTACTTGGGGCTTTTTTCTGGAAAATATACACTTAGTCCTTGTTTGATTTTTATTTTGAGATTTATTTTTTAAACTGATATATTTTTGTGGAATGCATATCTAAAACCTTGGATACATGTGTATACATATAATATTATTTTTTTTGAAAAATAAATTTTTAAAATTGAGTTTAAAATATAATTTTACAAAAAATAAATATTATAAAACTACCGATTAGGACCGCCGCCCACCACCAAGATTGAACACGTGCGCATTAGCTAAACCGACTAATCATTCCATTTACATCCACGTATTAACATGTAACAGTTCATGAAGCAGGTGAACTTTCTGCAAATCAAAAACTTCCACATTTCAGATTTGAAATCTTTGAAAAAATCTCGACAGTTTCTAAAAATGGAACAGTATGTATAGTAAACCTCCACGTTTTCCAGAATAGCTATCTAGAATATCACACGTGTGTAATCGTCTTCTGGGCTGGTTTTGCCACGTTTCATTACGTGGTTATCATGTTCACCCCCTACAAACTTTCTTTGTGTGTGTATATATATGGTTGTTGGGTTGTTGAATGATCTTCATTTACGTAGAAGAAAAGCTGTTTCGTGGAGTTTAAGGATGTCTGCAATGGAGATTGGATTAGAGAGGCAATCATCAATTGAGAAGGAACCTCGTACTCTTAATATCGATCAAATCCAATATGCAAGAGTATGTCTTTCTTTCTTTCTTTCCCTATACACCTGGTGAGATAGGATCAGAATTTTCATAAAGGGAAAAATATACTAAAATTAATATTTTGTATGAATCCGAAAAAATAAAAAATGTTGTTTATATATACAGGAGGCAGCAATGTCTGTGATGAACACAAGGAGCATTGAAGAAGCTTTGACGATTTTCACTAAGGTATATATGGTAGATCAAATTTGAAATATATTGAACTCGAAATTGTGTGGGTATCTATTCGGCCTCTCTTTGTAGTAGAAAATATTCTAATTTTCATTACTTCATTATTGTTTGTTTGTTTGTAACCGTTAAAAGGAAAAAAAAAAAAAAAAAAAAAAAAGGCTTTCTTCATCGAAACTCGCATAGAAGTAAATGGAAGCGGCGTGGTTATGTTCATTCCAAAAAGTGTTTTGGGAAAATGAAATTTAGAATAGTGATTTTTTATTAGATGTGTTGTTAAAAAATAAGAGAAATTTTTGGATTCATATATAAAATTGAATATGAATTTTAGAAAAAAAAATAATAATAAAGGGGTTTTTGGGGAACAATAGATAAATAATGACTAAAGTTGCCTCTAATATTGTAGCCCTATTTGTGGTCCTTTAATTTAAAAAATTGGAGTATGTAATAGTGATTGATGTTGAAATATGTGATTAAAAAAAAGGAAATTTTTTTTAATTTATGTGTAATATTATTTTAATAAAAAATATGTGATTAAAAATGAGTACTGTAGAAAAAATAATTTGATAGAATGTGAGAAAATAGTTGACAAACTAGGCACAGCCTGAATTATGAAAGGTGTACGACAATGTTTCTTATTTTATTTTTTATTTTCTTGATTGATTGAAGGTCTAATAGTATGTCCCCAAGTCTCACACTAGACGAAAGGAACCATTACTTTTTGCTCCAAAAGATGTGTTTGGTGGTGGTGGTATTATTATTATTATTATTATTATTATTAGGGTCCTAATCCCTTTAAGGCAGGTGTTTGGGAATTTATTTATCTTAACATTTCAATACCAACACGTTTACTTATGGAGTAATGCTTTTTGAAATCAACTACTACGTACAACAGTCACTCTATGTGGCATTTTATGTGAACATTTGTTATTTAAGGCATATAATTTTATTGATGAATTTGACTGCTATTCATAATTATAATCAGTGTTCATTTTATGAATAAGTTTGTTATTAAGATATTAACTTGTTCTGATGATGACTATTGATTATGAATAGCAATAAGTAACTATGAGGAGCATTACTCTTATTTATGTTTCTAAGATAACTTTAAGTCAAATTATTTCTTAAGTGAATCTTGATCTTGACATCACTTTGGCTTCCGTTTTGGCAAATTCATTAATTAATTTATACTCTCTCGTCTCATATAAATATGATTGATTTTCTTTTTCATCCGTTCCAATTTATATATCACTTTTCTTCTTAAAATTATAGAATTTTTTTTAAAAATTTTTTCAATATACCCCATTTAATGTACCCTATTATCAACAAATATAAATTAGTCATAGTTAAATCATTATTTAATGTAGGAGTATATTAGAAAAAAATTAAAAATTTTAACCATATGCGTTACTTTTTCTTAATATGTGCAAAAATAGGAATAAGTTTATCTTTATGGGATGAATGAGTAAAATATAACATTAGCTTTTAAGAAATTTATAAATAATAAATGAGTAGTAATTATTATTTTGATTAAACTAATTATAAATTGGTTGCTGGACGGATTGACTTGCTCCTCAAATCATCAACAACCCTCCCGCTTTTGAAATCTTTAGTGAGATATTCTTTGTTATCCTTGACATTTTTATCGAACATGTTGCACGTTCACTTGTAGTAGATCCTGGATCTATATATTTCTGATCAACTGAGTTGGAGTTGAAGCATTTTTTGTACGATGGCTCAAAAGGTTCTCTTGTTTATACGTAATTAAAATTTACTTTTGCTAATTCTTATGACCATCTAATTGCATGGTTACTGATGAGTCGTTTGCATTAAGGTAGGTCGTGTGAAACCTTGATTTCTTTCATTTTTGTTCTGTGTTTTGTCGAACCAATTAGATTCAGTAGCTAAATTTTGGTGTTAATGAGATTTGAACAATTCAATATTAGATTAGAAGGGTTCCATGAATTTATTTATTTTTTTCATTTTTTTTTTATGACCGTGGGTATCCGGACTAGATTACGCGCACCTCGATTAATCTCATGGAGTCCTGAAGTTTACGGTCGGGTACTCACCCCAGTGGCTCTGGGAGGACTCGAATTGATAATCATTGTGAGCAAATTCAAAGTCTGATCACTAAACTATCCCTTGGGGCTCTTTCATGAATTATTTATTTTCACGTTTTTAATGCTCTGTCTCGAAATGGCTGAGCATGGACAATTATAATATTGAAATGTTTGTTTGATTATTCATCAGTACAAAAAATCAAGTAAAATTTTGTGGATTATGCAACGGGATTCTATTCAACAACGTATACCATCTTGTTTGTGACTTTGCATATATAAATTAATGTTGCGATATGATGCTTGAACCTTCGTAACAATCTTTGGTTATGTTGCAGGGTTTAAAACCGGTGGTTAATTGTGTGGGAGATGAATGCAACGAGATGAACTCCGGCGAAGACCTCGACACTTTAGCTAATGAATTGAGCATTTCGGGGTTTAGAGACATTGTTTCCGCGCCATTTTAGAAAGCTGCAAATCGAGCTACTTTTTATACAACTTGCTAAGAATCGAATTTGTGTTTTTCAGCATGAGATTGAATTTTTCGTTCTTTGAAAAGGTCCAACCTGATCGAGTTGTAGTTATAAATATAGAGTCGATCGGGAGGTCTCAGTTTGGTCGTGCCACAGATGGGGAGATTGGCTCCTCAGGGGCCATAGAGGACAAGTAATCGTATGCTTTTCAAGTGCATTTTCCTTTTTTAACGAAGTGCAATGAAGCGAAATGTTTCCGTCTTTAAGAAAGGATGCATTTTTTGTTGGACTGCAGAAATAAATGTCGTGAAAGTACGATATCGTATACTGAATCAGTAACATACAGAAATCACATTATTTTGTGAGTTTTGCTACGGTCCCGTTTGGGAGTGATTTTGAAAATTGACTTTTTGACCGTTAGGAGAAAAGTGAGAGCCACATGTGAGAGAAGAAGTCAAACTTTACTGTTAGACTAATAAAATAATGGTTAAAAAATCAATTTTTTTGAGTGAAAAATCATTCCCAAACACTCCCTCTGCATACACATCTTGTTTATACATTCGTTTATAAATTCACATGTGGCAAGATTGCCATCTTCCACAAAAGAACACATTTAATCCAGCCGCTCACTTTTTGCCATGTTATCATCTATACGTTGGGGTGTAGCTATTTTCTGAAGAAATAACTTTCCCGTTATTTTATAGGTGGTCTAAACTATTCATAGAGTTTAATTTTCGTTCTCAATTCATGACTAATATGAGCTAGAAGCTTCATCTGTACTTTTTGGCACTTCTTAGCGGCTCTCTTTCATGTCACATTTCAGGGAACGTCAAAGTGGCTTTATGATGAGAAGCAAATGAAAGACTTTCATAAAAATGCTCGAAGAATTGGGAGTGAAGGTTTCATTTTGTACATGTCAGAGCATAAATTAGTAGCTGCATTCATTTGGAAAAAAGTGTTTTTTAGTAAGACACCAGTACATGAGAGCTCACATTTTTTTGGCCTACTCTTTTACTTGAATTTCCAAATTCGGCTATGAAGCTCTTGTTCTATTAGCTTCTTTATGCTCCATACTCAAATTATATATCCTCCTCCGCCCGACCGATAACGTGGCTACAAGCTCTTTCCTTACTTTGACCCAACTAAAGTCAACTTCCATTATTATGTATTGAACAGAGGCAAAAGCCTCTGCAACGGTCGCTAGTGAGCACTTTAGGTAGGTAGTGCACATTTATAGGGCTAAGGAAAAGAATGGCTAATAAAAACATGACTTTTTCGTACAGGAAAAAGACCAATAGAATAAAGTACGCACATAAGATAAACCTTCCTAACCTTCGAATAACGTCAAAAAATACGAATTGAAGTAGAGGATTTCTTCAAACAACAAGGGATTTGATCAACTATTCAATTACGTGATATTGAGCATGTTTTTCATATCTTCTTAAAAGGTTTCTTTGCAAAATTGTGTTCAATTTCATATGTTACAATTTCGTTAGACTTCGTCCTTAATTATGAGAAGAATTCACACGAATCGAATTTTTTGAGGAACGCGTTGAAATAGAATTTTATTTCATTAAGAGATAATCATGGTAAGGTATAATATATGAGATCATCTTTAATTATGGGTCGCCACCTATTAACTTTCAAGAATGGCAACAATTCTTTGACGTGATTAAGAAGCAACCATTTAAAGATAATTCAGGTTGCCAAGTTTGGAGCTAGCCCAAAAAAGTTTTCGGTTCTTCTCATGAGATATATTTAAAAATTTACCTTGAACATATATATATATATATATATATATATATATATATATATATATATGAGATATAATATGTGGAGATGGACTTCGTTATCAGAATTTAACCAAAATAAAGGCAATAAACATTTTTTATGGTCAAGATTCTCAAGATGAAACGCACTAATCGAGCTTAATCTCACTCGCCTTCTTGGCAGGGTAACATCTGAGATGGACGAAATTAGTAGGTGGTGCTGAGATATTATTAATTTGCCAGCCGGCATATGTAATTAATTGTGTATAAAAATTATTTTAAAGTTAAATTCAAAATTAAAGTGATCTAATGAAGAATTAAGCAATTGGGATTAGGGCATCTAAATAAAGAGTGTGCCAGATTATATGTGCAGAAATCAAATTACTTTAGAATTGTATTCATAATGGGCAAAATACATATTGAAATTATATATAGGTTTATGGTCCTCAATTTATATATAACTTCTCATTCTTTATGTCAACCCATCAACACAAGAATTTAAAGAGTGCATATTGAATACGAATATCCAAAACCCACAATTAAGGATATAAAATCTACAATCAAGAATCAAGGTGAAGGAATTCAAGAATCAAGATTATGGATCAAGAAGTAAAACCAAGACTAAATATCAAAGAATCCAAGGCAAACTTCAATATTGAAAGCAAGAAACCAATCAAGGGATTTCAAGTTGATTTTGAATATTCAATATCCGGAATCAAAATTCAGTAATAACTAATCATTCTTAAAGAATTAAAGTATGTTTAGCATTGTTAATTTCATTGATGATTTGACATAGAGAATCTCGGCAATAAAGTAATTATATATATATATAAAATTCTATAAAAGTTTAACAAGTGGTATCAGAGCCGACTCCATGTTTAAACCATTGGGATTAAAGGAAGAATTTTGTGATTAAAATTGATATATTTAAGTTCTCAAATATTTTAATTTAGAATTTGAATTTTGAGCTATAAATTTCGAAACTCAAAATTATTCACGGAAGAATTTTAGAGTTGAAATACATAATTAGGTTTTATATATAAAAATAAACTTTTTCTGAATGTGAATTTCAAACCTTAGATATCTAAATTTTGTGTTCAATTTAATTTTTTCCAATATTAAGAAGCACCGCAGCGCTGCGACACCGCAACTTGAAAAAAAAAGGCAACACTTGGGCACTGTATTCACAATGTCCAGGCTGCATTAGGCGCTGTAGCACCTGTTTATTGAGGGTACGTATTTTTTATTTATTTTTTTGTTTAAGATTAAAACGAAATAAAAATAAGAAGGTTAAATATTCAACAATATAAAGGGACAATCAACCAAAATAAGTGTCGAGCAAAAGATGAAGCCCACCAAGGTTTTATAGGGCTCAGATCCTCAACCAATCAACACCACCAACCAAAATCGAACCAAAACTCCACAAACCCTCACTTACGGTTGCTTAAGGTTCACATACTTAAAGAACCACGACAAAGGAAGGCAAGATCACAAAGAAGAAGACTGTTGGGTTTTTTTTTTTTTTTATACCCAATAAATCTCGGGTTATGATGTTAACGTGGGTTAATATTATTTCATAGGCATAGGCCAATGAATGAAATAAATCCAATAACCAAGTCCATGAGATACACCCGGCCCAATTGTATTCCCTAATGGATGGCTTGAATCTTGGCTCGTTTACCCCTTTAATGGTCCAACTTAAAGCCTAACCCTAGAGTATATATATGGCTATAACCCTAGCCACTTTATGATGTATTGTGTGATTTTGAGAGAAGAAAAAGAGAATCCCAGCTGTCCCCCTTTGTGTGAGAAAAAAGGTCTCAAGAAGCGTCCAGAATGCTTTTATAACGTGTGCAATTGGTGGTTTCTTCATAGTATACCTTTGTGGTGTCCTCTCCTAGCCTTTGTGACCACAAATCATCATCTTTTCTTGTCCTACATGGGTAAGATTGAATAGCAACCGAGATGAATCAATTGGTTGTGGTTTGGAGCCTATTGGACTGGTTGTTGGTTGAGAAAGGTGCGTTGGACTGAGCCCGAAAATCACCGATTTGAAGATCTTTCAAGAAAGCTTCCGCAACAATTGGTATCAGAGCTTCAAGGTGGTGGTTTTAGCTCTTGAAATATAGCAAAAAATGTCCAGAAACCGGCAGAAACAAACTAGAAATAAGATCAAAAAACTGTCAAAATCAGTCTTTATTTTTTGCATTTTCTGATCAATGCAGAAGGAGTTTTGAGAAACAGAGACCACTGGCGTGACGTGCATGTGGAGGTGAACCCTGTAGGGCGGCACGTGTGACGGCGTGTGAGTCCCATGCATAGAAGGAAGGAGTCATGCTTGAGGGGCATTGACTGGAATTTCAAGGAGGTCCTTTCAGGCAGTTTGTTCCTAACATTATTTCTGACATTTTTCGTGTTGAAAGTTTTTTGTTTCAAGGCCTGCAGAAGAATCTGGATAGCATTGTTCTTTGGGTGTTCGGGACTCGATCATGATTTTTTGGTTGCTGCAGTTTTCAGAGACTTTAGGACGAATGTGATGGTTCTGAAGTGATAAATTCACAACTCTCGTAATTTACGGACTCAGATAGGTCCGCTCTTGTATATTGGTTTAACTCAGTTTAAATTTCAGCATTAACAGATCATCGTGTAGGGTGATCGTTAGAATTGGGGGTTGTCATTGCTTGTGCTAGAAATTATAGCCACCTCACTTATCATTTTAATTTTTCAAAATCATATTCGTAAGTTAGACAAAAATAACTTCGACCATAGCCAAAATCAGATTTGTATAACCATCATCTTCGACCAGCCAAAATTATATATATATATATATATGTGGAGATGGACTTCGTTATCAGAATTTAACCAAAATAAAGGCAATAAACATTTTTTATGGTCAAGATTCTCAAGATGAAACGCACTAATCGAGCTTAATCTCACTCGCCTTCTTGGCAGGGTAACATCTGAGATGGACGAAATTAGTAGGTGGTGCTGAGATATTATTAATTTGCCAGCCGGCATGGCACATGTAATTAATTGTGTATAAAAATTATTTTAAAGTTAAATTCAAAATTAAAGTGATCTAATGAAGAATTAAGCAATTGGGATTAGGGCATCTAAATAAAGAGTGTGCCAGATTATATGTGCAGAAATCAAATTACTTTAGAATTGTATTCATAATGGGCAAAATACATATTGAAATTATATATAGGTTTATGGTCCTCAATTTATATATAACTTCTCATTCTTTATGTCAACCCATCAACACAAGAATTTAAAGAGTGCATATTGAATAGGAATATCCAAAATCCACAATTAAGGATATAAAATCTACAATCAAGAATCAAGGTGAAGGAATTCAAGAATCAAGATTATGGATCAAGAAGTAAAACCAAGACTAAATATCAAAGAATCCAAGGCAAACTTCAATATTGAAAGCAAGAAACCAATCAAGGGATTTCAAGTTGATTTTGAATATTCAATATCCGGAATCAAAATT